TGTGTGTGTGTGTGTGTGTGTGTGTTTGTCTGTCTGTGAACACGATAATTTAAAAACTATCAAACGTACTAATACGAAAATTTGTGCTAAAGAAAATTTGAACAAATGGACACTGCCCAAGGACAAATATATACATAAAGTATATATGCTCTCTATAGTATCTTCTTTTAATAACCCATTCTTTAACTTTTTTAAAAAAATTCCATTTGTTATTTTAGAAGGTGGTTATAGGTAAATGAATATTTTTGTTCATTAGAACTTTGTAGTAAAAACTGTTTGGTAGAAAATTTATAATCCCAATATATTTTCAATGACTGTTTCTTTCAGGTCATCCATAATTTTTGACATTTTACAAGCCACCCATGTGTCTTTGAAAAGCGTGTACCTCTGTGATTAACCCAATAGTTTTAACCCAAATTCATTGTCGTAGTCAACCAATCACAGGACATAAACTTTTGTTGGTTGGTTGGTTGGTTGGTTGGTTGGTTGATATGTCTGAAGCGCTTTTTCGTTTCATACGACATTAAATGCATAAATTATGTTAACGTTTGTTTCTGATTCCGTGGTGTCTATTTCTGTGTAATCTATGATTGTTAATCATAAAATGAATCCGTCTGAGCTAAATTTGTCGTACCCGGGCTTTAACCTCTTACTCAGGGCTTCTGCGCTTCTGACTAGCTACAAAATAAGGCCTGGTTTTCATGTACCAATCAAAATGTACAAACAACAATCTAATTATAGTTAAAAGTGCTAAATATATCATGAACAATAGCATAATCTAATTAAGAGGAAATTTTTTTCAATGTCACGTATTTGCGATGAAAAGTGTTCAAAACCTAAAATCTTTTGGGCGTTCCTCTCAAAATTACTTTGTTTTATCTTTATTTTGTAGCTTATAGAGTTAGCAACCTTTTTAAATGCATCTGCCGGTTGAGAAACATAAAATAATAGTTAAAAATTGTCAACTTAAAATGCAATTATCAACGATGCTTTAAAATTGACGCCATATTTACAACCATAGAAGCAAAACTTACTGAACTTCAGACATCATTTTCTCTTTGGCGTATCATCTAAAATCTCTTCATTTTAGCATTATTTTACAGATAAAGCACTATATATACTTTTTAAATTTGTCCGCCGATTGAGAAACGTATCGAAAAATAAAAGTTTTGAATTTAGTCATATACCTCAAGTGGTATATTATACGCATTATTTTTGAGCGCGTGTTACGTAACTAACCAAAAAATCCTCTTAACACTCACCAATCAAAAGACAGATTAATGTTTTGTCTGATAGACCAATCGGGTAGCCCCGGCGTTATAACGCTTCATAGATCGTCTTGTTTCAGGGGAAATGCGGGCGTAAGGGCATGTGCAGCGCTGGAATCCCTGTAAATCACTACGAGCTGGATGAAGAACCTGATGGCGGAGTTGACAATGCCTACGATACTGTGAACAACCCTGGAGCATCCGGAAGTAAGAGCAAACCCCCTGCAAATACTACTCCCGATGTATATGCCGCTGTGGACAAGAAAAACAGGGACGGAAAACCGGTACGTGAACGTTTTACCTTTAACCTGTGTTATATTAGTGAGTTTAGCGAATACAACGGCAGCATCAATGAAGACGTGATCAACAACGAATATTTGCTCTAAAGCGTTGATGGCCGTAACGGTCGTATATGGCCGTAACGGTCGTAAAGATTGGGTCACGATCTTTCTCATCAGCCGAATACAATATTTTAGATTATAACTAGAGACGAACTGCCGAACCTTTTACGGTGTAGAAGCGTACAGGAATTGTTTTCGGCTATATATTCCTAATTGCTTGCATGAACTTTCTCAAATTACACTCTGCGTGAATTTTTTTGGAATCTGCCCCCCCCCCCCTCGACCTACCCCTCCAGATACCTTATGGTCCACCAATTTAGCCTTAGTTCACGACCCCATTAGCGTCCGCCCGCTTTGGTCTGACGATCTCTTTTAAAATGGCAGATTGGCAGTATACCTAGTGTATATGCATGAACTTGTGGTTAGAGCTTGACAACTGGACTCTGTAGCTCAGTTGGTTAGGGCGCTGCATCGGAATCGCAGGGCGGCAGGTTCGATTCCTGTCAAGGATCTACAGGTGCACCCCCCGCAGCTGTTCCTGGTTAGGTCTAATAAGTGTATTTCAAAAACTCGCCAATAATTCATGAGGAAAACACAAAGAAAAATCATAAGCGTGTCGTATCTTGATATGTGATTTATATAAACTTTAACTTTGATTTTCTCGATTTACACAACGAACTTTTGAAAATTACTTCGCCAGTTAACTTACTAGATCGATCGTTTTTGAAGCAGTTTAAAACGTTCGCAATGCGTGTTTTATCAGACCTAAACATACTCGGCTTCGGCTCGTATCTTTATATCTGATAAAACACTGCTGCTCATGTTTTAACTAGTACGTAAAGTTCACACTCGATAATTTCCATCAACGGTCGCTTTTAAATTAAACCCTCTATAGAAAAGAGTTATTCTTAGTTCTCAAAAGTGGTTTATTCTTTTGCAGTTATATGCAACGCTTGACTCACTCGCGCTACAATCAGACAATTCGAAAAAGAAACGAGATGAAGAACGCCCTGGACAAACTGAGCATGCGAGTATCGACTTCGGCAAGATTGGGAAGGCTGACGAAGAGTGAACCATACGGAGTGAACTCAACTGTAGATGGCGAGTAGTAAAAGTGTTTCGGATTGAAAGTATAATTACGCTTTGCATAACATTTAGCATAACACAAGTAGAAAATAATTTGCATAAGTTTAGGATAAAAAATAATGGCACTTCGTATAAATATTATACAGCGGCGGCCATGCAACCGCCTTCTGTACTGTATAAATCGAATATGCAGGGTTCGTAGGCGTAGCGGTCTTTGAAATCCTCGAAAGTCTTTCAATTTGAATGTAGGTCTTTGAAAGATCTATGAATTGTATGAAAAAGTAAAAAAAGTTTTTTAGTGAGTAGCACAAGAGGGAAGAGCCTGAGAACGAGGTGGAGTGAGTAGTTGCTATATACGATTCCGTACTTAATAAAATAGATCTCTATATTGTAGGTTTTGTCTTAGATTTTAATGTAGTTATTCAAATCAATGTTTTAGCCCATAATTATATAGTATTAGTTTTTACTCATAATTGTAATATCTTTGTAATTCAGCTTAAAAAACTAATTAATAATTCATGAAGAAATTCTAAAGAAATGAATGCTTAATAGTTGATGAAGTTTATGTAATGATTTCAGCTTTGATTTTCTCGGCTTAGACAATGTTTATTTTTAAAAATTTCGGCTTGAGTTTGTATCAGATACAGATCGGCTGCTCATGTTTTAACTAGTACTTATGCGGCTGCGAGGAAAATTTTATTCAACCATATTCAATTCAATTAAAATAATATTATGGACTGCAGCAAGAGAAGGCGCATTTTAGGATGTGATTGGACGGACCAATTACCGGGTAAAAATGGCGCTTGTACAATTGCAATTTTTCGACAGCTAATAATTGCTCTTAAAGTTTTTTGAAAAGCCTTTGAAAATAGACTGAAAAAGTCTTTGAAAATGTGTGAAATTTTTTGGTCTTGGAAACTACGAACCCTGCTAGTAGTATTGTATGTTGTATAACTTTTGGTAGGACCTAGTTCAGTAGTTAGCGATAATAATTGGTGTATGACAACGGTACAATCCTTGTGATTATTGCCATCTTGTAAAAGTACTTTATGATTAAATAATAAATAGTGTGTAAGACATAGTGTTTTAGCCATAATTATATATTTGTCCTGTTCTTTGTAATATTGTAGTAATTTATGTAATAATCCGAGCACGGCCTATACCACAATAGTAGTTTTAAACCGTGGGTAAATAATGTTTTCATCATTAATAAATATTTTACAGCCAAAATTTCTCGCGTAATATGTAGTTTCTGGGAAATCAAATGATCAAATCAAGTCAAATCAAATCAAATTTATTTCCGTAGGGTATAACCTCTTCAGTAATATATCACTGGTATCAATGAGGGCCCTACAATTAAAATATACACACATATATATATATATACTCTATTATAAGTTAAGCAGTAAATAAGTCTAAGAGTTTAGCTTTAAAGCTAGGTAGATCATATCTACTTATAATGATGTGAATAAACGTTTTGGGAGATAATCGATTGGCGCGGCATGCGAGGGCAATTGCTGGATAGTATACTTCAAAATAAAGTTTCCGTTATTATATCAATTTTTAAAATAAGTTAGGGTTAGGTTAGGGTTTAGGTCAGGGGCGAAACTTGAGGGGGGGGGGGTATTGAGGGGTGTGACACCTCCCCCCCCAAAAAAAATACGAATCATCTGGATTGACAGGGCGAATCATCTGGATTGGTAGGGCAATCAAAGATTTTAAATAATAGAATGTTGAGTTGTTAAAACATAGGTCAAACCCTTATTTTTAATTAACATTTTTGGGAAAAATAGTGGCGAGAAATAAAAATTTGCTGCAGGGCGTCATCGGTTTTGGCAGGGCAATTCTGGCAGACACCCCCCGAATTAAAAGGGGCTAGTTTCGCCCCTTGTTTAGGTTGCTGGTTAGGGTGAAGGTTATAGTACTAGGGTTAGGGTTTAGTTTTGCGTTAGGATAGTTCAGTTCTATACGTTATTATAAAAACGGAAACTTTATTTTGAAGTTAGTATACTATCTCAGCGATCACAGACATGCGAGGCGCGACTATAAATGGCGCGACTCGTGAAAAATGGCGCGACTCGTGAAAAATGGCGTGACTTAATTGCGAATAAAGGGCTTGAGGAAATTAACTTTTAGCAGGTTTTGGTTTTGTTTTCCTTTAACCTAGGCCTTTTTCTCCGGCCGGATTTGTTAATTACGGGTGTGCATGTGCATGGTCGTTATTTCTGGTGCTTACGAATTAGGACTGACTCGACAGACAAGATATATATATATATATATATATATATACATATATATATATATATATATATATATATATATATATATATATATATATATATATATATATATATATATATATATATACTTTCAGTATCTTTTTGTGTAGAATTTCACGTACATATCTAGCATGCATTCTAACATTAGATACATCGGCTGCTTTAAGAAGGCTTCCAATATCGAGCTTTCAATGTCGATCTTTCAGTGGTAAAATTAGTTTCGAAAACATGAAAATATGCTAAAGATTAGATGGAGAATACAATATATACACTGTCACTTTTGTGAAATTTTTAATTTTAGCATGTGAAACGGGAAGTGGCTGTTTTTCTTTACGTGAAACGTTACCTATATCGTACTTTATTATTTACAGAATTTAGCACGACAACTGATAACTTAGCCGCGGCCATATAATATACAATATATAATTAAGGATTACAGCACTCTTGGAATGCATTATCGGGATTTACAAGCACTCGTTCACGAACAAGAAACAAGAAATTTAACACTGCACGAGGCGCAGCCGAGTGCAGTGTTAAATTTCGAGTTTCTTGTTCGTGAACGAGTGCTTGTAAATCCCGATAATGCACGAACAAAGAGTGCTTTAAACGTTTTAATATTCAGTTTGAGTAAACCATAAAAGAACAAGCATTTCATATTGTCACCTTTAACCGTGTAAACTACACAAAAAACCCCCAAAAACTCACCTTTAAATAGCGAAACACCCCATGCCGTTGCTCTTTTTGTGTTTGTTGGCGTTGCCTCCGAAATTATCGCTTCTATTTCCTCAGAGGACAATTCCAAAAACTTTTCACGCTCAGCAGCCATCTTGCAGTGCGATAAAAAGTTCATGCACGGCTATAATGCACGGCCGTGCATTGTTGTTATGTAAAAGTATGTCACGTGGTACAAATCGACCAATCAGAACACTAGTTTACGAAAACTGAATAATAATTACAGCTCATGCACGGTGTATTCCATAAACTACTTTTTATGTATAATGACTAACGAAAACAAATGGCAAGCTATCCGATGATACTGGAGTAATTAGCAGGCTAATTAGTAAATTATTTTAGGGACATTCAAATTCATTGGGTAAGAAATAAATTGGTAAAAACTTTTCATGCACCTGTATCTCTTACTTCTTAAATTTGGCCTGCTACTAACTTCATTATTAAAAGTCTTAATTAACTATAAACAAGACGCTCTATGGAGCGTTAACTCGCTGGGGCTATACAAATGAAAACTAAATTTTGTCACCATATTTGTTCATAATTTGGTAACCGCTACAGAAAAACAGAACAATTTACAGAAACGAAGATGCCTGCAGCTCAGACCTTGGTTGGCCAAATGACCTCTCAAGCGGAGAAGGTAGCCTCTCAAGTGAGTTTTGTTTCATTTGACATTGTGACATTTAAAAAAAACTAACTTGGAAAATCAGTTTTGCATAATTCAAGATCAGCATTTCCAAATTTTGACATTTCCAAACTATGCATAATTGATTTTTCTAGTTAGTTTTTTCAAGTAACAGGGCTAAAAAGGACCTTAATAACCATCATTCAAAAGGCTGAATTGTGCTTTTAAAAAAATGAGATATTAATTTCTTTGTTTTGGACAAGTTAAACCACCATGTTGGTGATATATCTAATTAAAGTGCAACTTCGAGCTTGGTATTTCAAAACTAGTGAGAGTTCACAACTAGGAGAACTTACGGAAATATTTTTAGATCGTGACCCTCAACCAAAAAACACCGCCTTAATACCTAGGTTTGAAATAGAAAAGCCAGCAACATTGGTTTTAAAGAATGTCGATGAAACTTATAATGGAATATTCATTTTCAACCTTCGAAATCAATAATATCCTTTGCAGTCATATTTATCTGAAGTTGTTGTCATTAAACACCAAAACTTTCAGTTTTCAATGTTTGTTTTACCACTTTCGTTAGTTCCAGAGAGTTGCATGCATCAGTATGGTTTGGCATGGCCACGGTTAACAAATATCTTAATTTTGAAAATATTCTATTTGGCGAGCAATCATCTTTTGCATGCTGCAGCCTTGAGTAAAACAGTTTAATTTTGGGATTTTCAAATATTGGTTTGTATGTATTTTGTCAGGTAATTTACCCTCATTTAAGAGTAAAATACAAGTTATATTTGAAAATAAAGTGTGTGCAATTTTACTTGTATTTTTCAGATAGTTGAATCCCTCTCAATCGGCAACATTCTTGTATGACTAACAAAGTTTTATTATCCCTTGTTTCTTTGCATTATTAAGCATAGTCGGAAATGCAGGTCCATGCACGTGGATAAGACATTGAGGCCAGATGTGCAGTAAAAATCTTCCATATACTATATATCTTGAGTTGCACTCTATAACCTTACAGAATGATTCTCTAACATCTTACATAGTTTCATTACATTTCAGAAAACCCAACTGTGACATTGAGTTGTTCCAGTCCTGTCACAGTAAATGAAGGTGATAATGTCACATGTATATGTAGAGGTAAAGGTGGAAATCCTTCAGCCAATGTAACTTGGTATGATAAAGGTGGCGTCCAGATTGTTGGAACAGGAAAAGAAGAACAGACATTAACTCTAAGTAATGTTGTTAACACAGCCAGTGGAACTTACAAATGTGTAGCCAAAAGCCACACTTTAACAGATGAAAAATCAATCGAAATAATTGTTTATAGTAAGTAAATTGCATGATAATACATAACGTTTTAAACGAAACTACTAGCCAAGATATCGTTTATTTCATTAATATTTGTGAATATATCTCAAATAGTACAGTAGGAATATGTATTTTATAGGAAAAAAGCTTACTTATAACAAGTGACCGCGAAAGCGTAAATTTTCGCTGATTGAGTAGGCGTGCAATTAAGTTTTCTAACAGTATAAACTCGGATCTTCTGCAGTGTAAAAAGAAGAAAATGTCATTTAGTATAAAGAGTTTGTATCTTATTATAGACGCAGTTCCACCTACAGTGATAAGCCTGAGGTCGACTCCGGAAAATGTCGTATTTGGTGAATCAATTGTGATAACGTGTGAAGCTAGCTGTGCCTTTACCAAGTTATATCATAATCCATAACAATACTGAGATCGTCAGTACTCACAAGACGTATATTATAACAGTTTTGAAATACCGTGATGCTGGGTCATATAAATGTATTGCAACAAGTATACTGGGAAATAGTTCAAAAGCATTTATAGTTTGTTTGTCGCAGGTGACTATAACATATACAATCTTTTCTATGATAATTGCATTGCCTTTTAAAAAGTATACTGTAGTCTATCAAGCTTAAAATGTGATTTCATTTCCAGTAACGAATACTCAACCTAAAAAAGATTGCGAAGCAGGTAAGGTGGTTTTCTTTTCCCAACATGGTTCAGAAAATATAATGTTTGTTTTCTTTTGAGATATAGTCTACCCAGTACAGTACGCAGAAACAAATTGATTGGAAAATTGGTAAGCCCATATGTGTGACTGTGTTCTTCTTAATTTTCAGGAAAAGCAGTTTTAGAAGAAGCAAATCGCAGTGGAGCTGTATGCTATATGGTCGTGGTAATCTTGGTTACATTGTCTCATGTTCTCGTCGTAAATTTAGAAGTAGGAAACCTCAGTCAAATCCTGAACCAAAGGCAACTGAAGCAAGAGCTTGATCTTTCAAAAATGAACACAGAGGATAATTATAATCATTAAGAGTGAATGCCGCAAATGACGAGGAGGCAACTTACACTGAGTTGAACAAAACCAGAGATGTGGAGGGCAACTACCAATCTTTAACTTGAACCTGGAATATTATACATATATAGGATAGGGTTAGGTGTGACAGATTTTGTAAAACTACAGTATTAAACCAGACCACCACGGTAGTTCTGTGACCACGTTCTGTGACCCTCGTCCGCGATCATATCAGATCATGTCTGATTATTGGAATGATGGAAATATTTCCATTTTCTAAAGTTGTAAAATTCCTTTGGAATTTTGAGTAAAACCTTCGGGCGATGGTATTTAAGTAATTTATTAGATGCCGCTGACATGATCTGATATGATCGCGGACGGGGTTCACAGAACGCCCTGGATAAATTGACTACCGACTACCACAATAACCTTTATAGGCCATTATATAGGCCTTTGTAGAGGAGGCCAGGATAAGGGCCAAGAAAGGTTTTTACGCGACTGAGGGTCATTACAGTTCAATAGGAATCGATCGCCCATGGCTCGACGATATATATTTTTTGTTTTCTGGGTGTTTGAGTAATGTTCGGGACTAGATTCGTTTAAACGAAATTAGCCTATCGAGATTCTGGAATATTGACTCGCTAGTGGTAGTTTGAAATACCCGGAGCATCGGTCAACTAGCTAGTTTTTTGCATGGCTGCTTTTGATGTCTTTATTTTTATAGTGCACATTACTCATCATGCACAAGGATAAAGGCGCCAGGTGATAACTATATAACTGGTTAAAGGTTATGCTGTTCACCAGTGATGATTTTCAAAGAATAACCTATAGTACTCAGTTTTCAATACGGGTACAATCAATCCAACTACGACGAGGTTACAAAAACAAAAGAATATGATTATGGTCATTCCAATTCTGTTTTGAGAGCTATACCTATACAAACAATACTCATCCAGATAATTTCATCCTTGGTCTAATGGCCATTTGTTCCGCACATTTTCATTTATTTTCGTATTAAACTGTTTGATAATCTTTCAGCTGACATACAAAACACAAACATACATGCAAATTTGTCACGAACAAATCGAGGCGAAAACACAAACTGAAGTTAACCAAATTGATGAATTAATCATAACTTTAGAAATCTATCCACATGACGCGGCCAGTATGGGGCGCCAAGTGTAAATTTATTATTCAGTTGAAAAACGGGTGAACTTTTCGGTTATTTATAAAAATGGAATAAAGATGACATTATTTATATATAATAACTTTTAGAGATTTACATTATTTATATATAATAAAAGTTGTAAAACAATTATTTATATACAAGTTGGTTTCTTAGAGTAATTATTTATAAATAATATGCTGTTTCATCTCTTATTAATATGCTGTTTCATCTCTTAATAAATAAGTTGACAAATCTGTTAGTTACTAGCAAACCTAAGTGCAGTGTAGTAGTTATTTATAAATAAGTATTGCATTGCTCGCTTACAAGCATTATTTACATATAATGGCAATTTCGCGTATCATAAATTTACACCTTAACCCGCCAAGTGTAAATTTATTATTGGCGGGAAAAATGCGTGGTTACCAAGGCTGAAAGCGCTCCTTATTAAAATATGGCCGCCGATCGCGAAGCTCTTTCGAGGACGATTTCAGAAGCCTTTTCTAGAGCAGTTACCGACGCATTGACTGCAACATTATCGCCGGTAAGTATAGATAATATTTCGCCCTTTTTGCTTTTTGAAGGTCTTAAACATGCAACTCTTGGCATATTTTTGAAATTGGAATCTTCAGCTTCAACATAGTTTCCAGTCTCTCTTTTGGCACTGTCTTAGCTGGTCTTCCAGGCTTTCTATGCAAAACATTTTGTAAGGTAATTAATTAACTAAATTTTATAAATCCAAGATAATTTCAATCAATCATCTGGCTTAAGATTTGGTCATACCACACATGATCATCAATGGCTTATTCTATAGACAATTGGTTGTCCATTGCATTACATAAAGTTTATCACCTCTGTAAATTCCCATCTTCAATTGATACAAATCGATCCAGATTAGTAGATGATGTCAGATCAGAAACATCGTGTAAAGGTATAGGTTTACCATTATAAATTAGATCTAGGAATACCTAATTATTAAGCCCGAATTGCACGATCAAAAATCAGTGTAGCCAAGCCTTGAAATAAATTTGGACATACTCGGTGTATCACTAAATTTACCAGTCACAGCGGAATTTATGGTGGTGATTGTCACTCTCCTTCGTTTTTTTTTCTGGGGGGGGGGGTGCATGGGCTCACGCGGTTGGGTTGCCAAA